AGACCAATTAAATGCTTTGAGATGGAACTGCAATCACTCTTCCACCAACAGAACTAGCCAGACAAATCGTTCTTAATTTGAGTTCAAAAAAAAAACATAACAAATTCAATTAATTTGTAGCGTTATTATGAAACAATAAAAACTTCAGAATTTTCTTATCAAAATCTAATATTATATATATATATTCTTTTTGTAAGTTCAAGATAAGATTTAATTTAGAACATAACTCATGGCAGTCTATATTCATTTGTAAGTAGATATGGTTTACATTATATAATTAGTTCCGTGCAAACAAAGCTATCCATCGAGGAAAGATAAAATGATTGTATTCATTGTTTGATGCTAAGAAAAAAGTTTTAAGAAAAACTCACAATTTGAAGAGAAATTTTTCTTTCAATATCATTCTAATCACAAAATGTTGCATCTCCTTCAACAGCTAGGATTTGTCAAATCCATCATGACCTTTCTTGCACTTCATGAATCATGAAAAAGAAACCTTTCTAAACCTATATATTGTGTCTCTGATGAGCGTGACTTGCATAAAATTTATAATTTATTTGGACTTATTAAGTACACATTTGTCTCTCATATCTATTCTTGTTTTATTTGCACGTGTCTTTTTACTTTTCTATTTGTACTCTACGTGCAGAAACTTCATTTCTCTAGTGAAATTATTTTTATCATGATTAATAATTTACATACCGTACTATTTATATCCCTTTTATATTGTTTAATAATCAATGTAGTATATTTTGATTTCATAAATTCTTGACTTGGTCTCATTGTTGAAGGTAATTCCATGATTTTCGAAGTTGTCTTTTCAAATATATTTGTCCAAGGTTGAAATAAACTTTGTTGGCCATAAAAAGCTTTACAATAATGTTCGGTTATTCCATCTTCCATTCTACAAATTTCATTCGTTTTTATTTTATTAATAATTAATGGTAATGAACATGTACCACATAATGGTGTATATTGCCATTGAAGAAATTTTCCACCTCTATTCCAATCCATACAACCAGAATTAGGACTTATACGAAAGAGTACATAATTATGATCTCGTGTTGCATATTTTAACCATTCATATTCACATCGATGACAATCATCATTAACTTTTAAGAAAAAATCTTGTAAATATGGAAATAAACGTATATAAGAATAATTTAATGGATGATGAAATGAAGAAAAATTTAAGCGTAAAATATGTAAATTAGGAAATTTATCTAATAAAATATTTTCATTACCTAAGTCAGTATGATCAAGTATAAGAACATGTAAACGTTTCATAATTGAACATGATTGATTAGAAAAAAAATTTTCTAAATTTGGTGAAAAATTTGTTAAATGTAAATAAAATAAATTTGATGATAACGAATTAAATGGACATAATGTTTTATTTAAAATTGTTGTTCGATGAAATATTAAAAATTCAAATTTACGAAATACTTTGGAATATTCATTTATATTCCAATTTTTAATAATTGAATCTGTTATTTCAAGTGCTGTTATATCATGAGAATATTTTAATAAATATGGATAAATATTTGAAAGATTTTCAACATAACGACATGTTATCATTTTATAAAATTTTAAAGTAAATTGTTTACCACCTAAACGTATACTACATTCAGTTGTCGAACCAAATACCATTCGATTGATAAGTTGTGTTGAACGAGTTTTAGTATGAAAATGTATTGAATTAGATGAAATTCTATTAATTGTAGAATTAATGACAATTAAGATGATTATTAATGACGAACAATTCATGATCAAATGTTTTGGAACTTCGAGATAAATCAAAATAAAGATAAATAGACAGACCAAGTAACAGACATTCTTTTTTTTTTTCCTATTTCTTCTCAACAGTTGTCTATTGAAAAATATTTAATCAGATCATATTACACTACTACTGAAGTAGAAAGCACGAAACACAAACACAGACAATCAATTAAGCCTTTGATTTAGTCAGTAAACAACACACAAGCATCACGAGAGTCAAATAAAAATTTTGACTAGTAATTGAAGATAATGATGAAAAAGAAAAAAAACGTTCATCTGAATCAATAAAACTTAAATTTGTTCGTTTAGCTACTATAGGTGTTGGCCATCGTTGATGTTCTTCATAATGGTGTCGATAATATTTTTGTACATTAACAATCAGTCTCATATTTTTTGTTTGACATAAACCATTATAACGTTGATCAATACCTGACAATTGACCAGATGATGTTGATATAAAATAATAAAGATGTCCATCATCAAATTCTGGTAAATTTGGATAAGGTAAATATTTTGATATTGACAATGTATAAATTAATCGTTGTATATCAAATGGTTTATTACATTTTAATAATGAATTATAATTTGTTGTATTACAAAGATAATAATCATTTTCATTAACAAGATAAAGTGTATTATATTCTACATCAACATCTAAATATTGATCTTCATAATAAGGACAAAGAAAATCTATTAAATCTCCAAGATAAACAGTTAAAAAACCGGATGAATGAAAAATTATATTTGATGAATTCCAATAAATTTGTAAATGTTGTCGATGATGACGATGATTTCCAAAACAAATTGTATAAATTGAAAACATTAAAAGATGAGTAAAAATAAATGTTAATGACATGAGAAATAATAAGACATCGATTAATGTCTATATCTAGAAATAAGATGTTGATTGAGATGAAAATCATATATTCCATATGCATGACTTAAGAATTACATAATCAAAAGAAAATTGCAACGTTTATGATAGAACAAACATTACTCTGCGTGTCTAATAGTCTCGCATTCTTCTTGCATGTTCACTAGATGTACGTGTATGATCATTCGTCAGCTCAAGGATAGGTCTTGTTCATTGATTCTATGATTGAAAATATGTTACCTTGTACGAATAACTATTTCGAATAGTCAATAATTTCATTAGTCTGAAAGAAAGAAATGAAATTGTTCTGAAGCATTCTTACATGTATATATAGATGCATGTATTGTCAATGAACGTAATAATAATAATAATATCCTTTTGAAAGTATTATATATATTCTCAAATATGTTGATGAAGGTTATTTCAAATGAACGACTTTTAAAGTCTTCATACAGTATTCTTTTAAAAAGCGTGAAAGGTCTTTTTTTTCGTCCCTACAGTTACCTTCTAAAGTTGACGTTATTTATATCTGTTTGCATTGTCAATGACACGTTAAAAATTTGTAAAATTATATTTTGATTTGAAACTTGCATAAATAATAGAGTTTTTCAACATATCTTATTTATTCTTGATAAGTTACATTTAAATCAACAGAAGATCATAGTCAGTTATATATCGTGCCTTTCACATAAATAATATCATCTCAAAATTCTTTGATTTCATAATAAGAAAAAAGTAAAAGTGGTACTCTAGATTTTTTCATATACTCTTCTACAGTTCAATTATCATCAAGAGAGAAAAGAAACAGTTGGTACTCAAATGTGACGAAGAAATAAAAAAAAACTTATATGTATTCATTCATTCAATATATTATTTGGTGATTTTATACTTCATCTCATCATCAATCACACAATTGAATGGATTCACGCATCATCTCCTTATTTATGCAATCTCTTAGTTCTATGTCAGACTATTCAAATTATTTATTTATTTCAGTAGAAAAAAAGAAACGAATTGTGAGTCATTTTATTTCTAATTAAAAAAGAATAAAAACTGTTAATAATAGAATGAAGAATATGTTATATTTTCTCCATAGAAATGACGGAAAACAATTTCCTTTGAATATGACATTCATATTTAAAATTGTCATGATTTTCACAAAAGTAGCATTTCTTCTTCACACTTTTATTCAAATAAAAGAAGAACATTTGTTTTAGATACTTTTTTATTCTACTTTTATTGAAGTATGTCGAATGATCAAACCGAAACATTAGAAGAACGTTTAGATAGACGACGTCGTTTGCATAAAAGAAGATTTCTAGATAATAGAACTTCTGTTGATGAATCAGAAATAAAATTAATTAATCGTAGTCCAAAAACAACGCAATCACTTGATCGTCAATCAAGTAAACGTATAATTCCAACAACGTTTATTAATCAACATAAAAAATCTTTACCAATCATTGAAAATTCATATTCAAAATTAAATCATATATTATCTAGTAATCAAAATAATTCAACTGCTCTCCGACCACAATTATCCAAAAATCAATTTTTTGATGCTGAAAATGAGAAACAAGTTTCATCAAAATCTCTTTCCATTCATGAACAGCAACAAAATGAAAAACTTATTATTAACAAAAACACAATTTCATCCGTACCATCATCAGTGATCTCTTCTACAACTAACGCAAAGTCTATTCCCATTCAACAAGATATTGGCGTAAATTCTTCTCCATCTCATGATGAAAAATCTGTGATTACTAAAGAAAATCCTTCATCCATATTTCTTCCAATGGTTCCTCTTACAAATATCAAAAAATCTAATTCAATTGTACAAGAAAGTCATGAAAATCCTACTTCAAATTCAATGAAAGAGCTTTCTCATACGTCATTCGATTATCCAGTGCGTCATTTACGATCCAATACCGATAGTCAACAATATTTGAATTTTACTGCATTGAATTCAAAGCCTATTTCACGTACTAAATCAGAACAAATTCTATTAATAAATAAATCAAAACAACAACCATATGATTCAAAATTTAGTAAACTAAATTTATTAGCACTTTCATATGTATTTAATAGACGTATGGTTAATGTTGAATTAGCACCTACGTCACCATTTAATAATGAACAATCACAACGTAAAACGGTTTGGGATTGAATATTTATCAAGTTTTAATCTTTTTTTTTTTAAAGTTCTTGTTTTGTATGCTAATACTATTCCTGCACGATATTGATCAATCTAAGACAACAGTAAAAAGAATATATATATATTTTTTTTTGTAATTGAGAATGTAATTACTTTTTGTCAAACAATAAATTTTCAAAAATTCTGATGAAATCATTCAATATTAGAATCATTTGATGAAGATGATAATAAAGCTAGAAATATATTTCCTGATTCATTATTATCATTTTGCTATTAATAAAAATAGAATAAAGATTTATTAAAAATTATTTGTTGTTTTTGTTTCTCTGTAATACAAACTGTAATGATTGTTGTTTCTATGAAAGTATGAGTTCTATTAAATATTTATTTATACAAAAGAATTCAATAATTTAAAACTGACTTTACATCTGTAGTCATAACAGTTGGATTAATACTTGGATTTTCTGTTATTTCTCGAATAAGATTAAAATTATCAGTATGATTATGATTATAAAGTTTTGGTTCATCATAAACAACTGTATTTGTTGAATCCATATCTTAAGTATAAATGAAAGTTCGAATTAGAAGTTTATGTTTTTTTTTCTTTCTATTCATTTTTTTTTTTACTTTGAACATTCAAATAAATATTATATTTTGCCATTCCAATTTGATTTGTTGATGTACAAATAATATTTTGATATATTCTATAGAGAATATGTAACCAACAACAACGTTTTGAACACCAAACAAATGATGTATTCTGAAATTCGGTGATCATGGACCATGAATATGTTGGATATGGAACAGCATCCAAATTACAGCAAATTAAATGTTTTGAATATAAATTAACATTAAGTGTACGTTCATAAATATTATCAGGTGATTTAGGAGGATCTTAAAAATAAATCTATGATAAATTTATTAAAAAAAAACCAATATTCATACGAATAATTGTTAATACGATTCGTTGATAAATAGTTGTCTCAGTTCGACATATATATATTCCAGCATCAGCTATTGTTACTGAATTAATTTTCGTATCTTCATCATATAATGTTGGAAGAGTTTTCATTAAATAATAATTACAAGAAAGAAAATTCCATTGAATAGGTAATGTCATATTTGATGGACAATGAAAATAGACAGAATCACCTAAAACCAATATCAAAAGTTTCAATACGCACATTAAATTTTCAATACCTTCAAAAGCAATACGATATATATCACGTTCATTTGTATTCATTTCAAGGAAATCATTATTTTTTAGATATTCATCTGATAGAAGTGGACTACCTAAATCTATATTTATATTATATTAAAAATATGGCATAGTATAAAAAAAGAATTACAAATACCTTTCTTAATTAGTGTTTGTACACGTATACCAACACATGTTGTATCCATATGTAATTTACAAAAAAGGTGCGTAGTACTTCGAATATGTTTTATAAATAAACCAGTACGATTATAACGAATTGTTTGTTTACTATCAATTAATTCGATAAATTGTTCATTAAAACCATAATTGAAATACATAGGCTGACATATAGTTACTAGGTTTTTATAGAATTCTGTTAGTTTTGTCCAAGTACGATCAATCGAACGTGCACCTATAATTGGAACTAATTAAGTTATTACCAACTCAAACCTTGAGCAAATTTGTTTTTGACATATTCAAACGACGGATTTCAGTCCTTACATTCCTTCATTGTTATTTAGAGATACACAGGGTACACTTTTTTTTCGTGCACTGTAACCTGATTTCGATAAAGTTTCCTATTCTTACCCTACTTAGTGCTTCTCTAATGTTATTTTTGAATATCTTTATATGTATTTCCTCTAAAGTCCAAATTCGACGGAAATTAGTTTTAAGTATTGAGAATACGATTCGATGCAGATTTACGTGCTGATTCTCAATATAATATTCGTTGCATTTGGAACTAAAGTTGTGATTGACGAGATCTTTGAATAAGCACTTGTATTTATAGTTTGTTTTACAATCATATCGAGAAAATCGATTTTCTCAATAATCAAATGCTATTTTTTCAAAAAGTGTACATACTGTTTTCCTAACTATATGATGAGGAATATCAAAAGAGTACTATGAATAAATATTGAGACTTCATGATTTTGGTATTTTTCAGTTTCTAGAGCTTTTTCCGGCTTGTTCAACCTAATTTCCCTTAGTTTCACTACAAAGACATTATCGGCATATGTCAAAAACAATTTTGCTCAAATTTCGAATCGCAGACATCTTTAGAAAAAAAGTTGTTGGCACACTATTTGCTGGTTTAAAATGTAAAACATAATGTAACATTTGTTGATTATGACACAGAGATTGTATTATTCAATCTATTTTTGGACACATTTGCTTCACCATCCTTTTCTTAATCTTTAAAAGATACGATAAGGAAGTAGTTCATGTATGATACGAAGATGGTGTTGATATATAGTCTGTGATCGTATATTAACAAGACCTATCAAGTCTTTGAAGCGAGGTCTAAATTTCTACTCCTATATCTCAACACTCTTTTTAGATCGTCTTTCAAAAAACAAAAATAACTATGAAATATTTGTCAATTACCATTTGAAAAAATAAAAACACCACGTGAATATAATGATTCATCATTTTTATGACATAGATAGAATCCATCACGATTTTGATCGAACTCATTTAATCGAATTAATTTATCATTGACAATCTCAATTTTTCCATTATTTAAATATAATTTCCAATAAACGTTATTCTTTGAATTGCATTCTAATAAATAAGATTTATCGAACGGTATATAAATAGACGATGGAAATTCTAATCCATTAAGCAATAATTCATCGTCTATAGATACAAACATTCATTATCGAGCAATTTATAATCATGACTTACTTTGAACAGCAATGATTGCAACAAACAATTGACATAGACAAGCGAAGATCATATTTATTGAGAATACACTTATTAAGCGCAAAATAAGTAACCAAAACAACAGTTAACTTTTTCTTCTAAATATTTATTGAGAAAAAAAAGTAATGCACTGTGATAAATAGCAATAATTCTCAAAAACAAAGAACACTAAAAAACAAATTCCGTGGAAAAAAAAAATCACCGTATTTAATAGACAATCAGATTTATCATACAAAATTCAAGACAAATGTTCGTATTTCTCGATTATTTTAAGCAAAATTTTCTTCATCATTTACATTTTTAATTAATTTATAATCCGCAATTCTGTCATCATCATCATCATCAATTTCATCATTATTTAATTGAACATGTGATCTCATTGACATATAAACTAAGAAATAAACAATAATTAATATAACAGCATTACCAGCTAAATGATATGCATAGGACATTGTCAATAATGAAACTGATCGATGAGATTGAGGATCCCAAATAAATAATGGATTTGTTGTTTTAGGCCATATAACATATGCTGCTTGAAGGAACCATGTACCTTGTGTTAAAGCAAAAAAACTTCGTGCAATAATAAACCAAAAATTATTTGGATCAAAACATTCACATAAGGCACCGATCATTGAACATATTATTGTTAAACCAAGTAATTGATGTATATGAGCATCAACCATACTTCGAGCATGTAAGTGAAATATCATCGTTAAACCTTCTATACCAAAAGCTAAGAAACCCATGACTTGTGTGATACGTTTTGGTAATAAAAATTTATAATGAACAAGTATTTCAACCCAAGAACCAAGAAAAAAACCAAAAAGCATTGCTGTATGATGAGCATTTTCATCTCCAATATGAGGTGTTGGTTCTCTGTGGTAGCCAGTAATAAGTTCAATTGAAAAATGAATAGATGTTATGAGAATTTTTATAATACTTTCTATAGGTAGTTGACGAAGCGTTTTACTCGGTAAATAGCCACATGGATATGTTGTTGATCCTCGAAATCTAACTTGTTGTTGTGTTGCTTTTCCAATCATTTCACCATTAGCGAATGCTCTCATATAACGCATACAATTATTTATATGCCACCATAAAGCAAATAAAACAAAAAATACACCTAAAGGAAATTATTTAAAAAAATATTTTTATTTAAACATAAGTAATAATCTTTTTCAAAAACATACCGGGTGCGATATGTCCAATCCAACTTCCCATTTCGTCTTATGTATCAAATCTATTCGCTTTGAAAATTAATTTAAAAACTGTTTTTTCTTATATCGTTTATCTCAATTACGAAAAAAATCTATGATTTCTGTTTTTGTATTTCTTAATAAATATATGTCACTGAAGCAAAAGGGAATTGTGAATAACTTGAGAAAAAGTCGTCAATCTTCAAACTAAAAAAAAAAAAGAAACAAGAAATTACCGGATTAATAGTTTGATTGAGTAGCTTTGTGATAAGACAATTTATCAAAAAAATTTTCCATCTAATTTATTGAATACAAACTACACATTTATTTTTCTTCTGACATATCTAAAAGATGCAAAAGTAATTATAAATCATAGAGAAGAAATTCTTCTATAATTTTCTCTGCATTTTTTTTTCTTGCTTAAAAAAATGTCTTCTATCTTTCTTTAACAGATATCATATTTAGTAGTTAGTTTTAATTCAATGTCAGATAGTTCTCGATTGCTCTTCTTATATGAAATAAGAAAAAAACACGTGTGTCTCAATAATACCTATCTATTTTAATGATGAAAAACAAGTAACTTCAATCGCTCATTTATACCTGGTTGTTAATGTAATCATGATAATGCAAAAAAAAGAGAAAGTCCAAGATACGTTCTTAAAGATCGCAAAAGAACATCAAGCAATAGTTATTTTTATCTAACAGTCATTCAAGCGTATAATGACGACAAAAAAACTCCCACTGATTTGGATGTGAAAAACAAAAAAAAGAACAGTGTGTTTATTGTAAACATCGATAAAAAAAATATATAGGGCTATGATTGTAAACTTAATCTCAGAAAAAAAATTCTAAAACACCTTGAAAAATAACGTGACAAGTCGTATAATCGGATCTTATCATATAAACGGACATAATCAGTATTTAAGGCTTTGACTTCAAATGCAGATATGATTCTAGGTGATTTTAGTCAAAGAAGAAAGAAATAGATGTTATTAGCACATGCTAAATTTGAAATGAAAAACAATGAGAGAAACATAATAGTTGTAAAAGAAAAATAACATCTTTACAAGAGTAAACAATTAATAAAAAAAAATACTTGATAAACTCACGAGAAAAAGATTCTCAAAGAATATGATGTTCGCTTGTTATCGTAATTATATATCAAAGGAAGAGTCTGCTCACAGTAGGTGTTGACATGGAGAAATTCATTATTACATAATGACTTGCAATTTCTTTTACATGAAAATGTCCTTGACTAACTGAATGTAGTTAAATAATGGGTAGATTAAATTTCAATAGAAATATTTGAATTTTTTATGTCAATAAATATCTAAGTTTAGCTTGAAAATGAAGTGGAAATAGGAACGTTTTGTTGATGATAGATCAGTTTCCAAAAAGAAAAAACGTTCTTTTGTTCTATTGACAGATATATAATTAGCTTTTCAAACTAATCAGAAAAGTATCATTTCTTTATATAATAATTAAATTTTTTTTTTAACGAAATGATATTCTGTACTCTTTAAAAGAAAAAAAGAAGCCAATCACATTAAAAGTC